AAGGCCTTGCATTTGAGTGTTCGTGTCCCAGACCACCCCTACAGCCCTATACGCTTTCTTAACTGATCCGTTGGATTCAATGACGTCACGGCGTGCCGGGCTCCTGCGCCCACAGTTAGTCGGAGTAAGCAAAGATCGACACTGTTACGACCCACGCCTGGTATTTGTAATTGGCACGAACTCTGAGTTAGCCCGACTGTTGTCCCAAGGCCCAGTACGACAGAACAAGATAAATCAATCGACCAGAAAGAGGATAAGTGTATTCACACAGAACACATCAAGGCCAGAAAGTGCAAGTCACTCTTACGAAAAAGGCTGTGGGGTATTTATTCAGTCGGCTCCATGAGTAGGCGCCAGCGACAGGGGACCAATCAGGTATGACGAAAAATCGATAGCCACGGCGCGTGCCATCATGACAGCGACGTGGAGTTGCACTCGGGGTCAAAAGTAGTTTATGTGGTGCACCTCATACACCCTTGGTCCCAACATTTTGTACTACGGAAACGGTAATTATAGGGTTTTTGGGGTGGGGAAAGAGGATAGGCAGGGAAGAAAATTTTTAGAAGTGTAAAGTGAAAATCTGTAGTTGAAATTGTTTCCCGCGGCCGCTGGGAGTATTTTGTTCCGCATGTAAATTAAGGTGTGCGCGGCAAACTGTACTAATCTAACTCCAGAATGGTAACTTGGACCTCAGGTAAGTTGAAGTAGACGACCTCCTTACCGCCATTTCTATTTTTCAGGAATTTCAAAAAACCTGCAATTTGATAATCAGGTTTTTCCGGAATGAGATAAACGATAGTACAGATTAGGAAAATCTACAGGTAGGAATCAAAAACATTTCAAAATGCAATAAAATGAAAATTAATGTGGCAGTTTTTGAAGTATATTCCACTGCCTATCCTAATTCCCCGCCCATAAAACCCTATAACACCGTTTTTGTAGGACAAAATATTGGGACTAGGGATTAATGAAGTGCACTACATAAAACACTTTGACCACTCGGGGCCTTTCTGTCAGGTGAGTAATCGTGGTAATGGGCGCATTCCCAACAGACAACCTGTCTTGCTAAGGCATTCGTAACTATGAGGATAAGAAACCCACACTAAGGACGGCAGCCCATAGAGGACATCTGTAAAACGGAGGTTTGGCGATAACTGCGATCACGGCTACTTACATAAGCAAAGAAAGCGTGTGTGAAGCCGACATTAAAGTTGGAACCAAAGGCACCAACAAACACAGCTGTGTACGAAGACCGGGAAGCGGTTAAAAGCTTGTGACCGAAGAGCTTGGCAATACGCTGACCAATCAGTTGGCTCTCCATGTAATTTTTATCTGTCGTTTGTTTATGCTAGGAAGCAGTTCTCAATCCCATCTCACGAAATGTAAAAGATTTTCTTTTGACAAACGCGTGTCGGCATCTTATATTGAAAACAGAGAACCTTATGGGCACCTTCATTTACTTTATTTAAGTGCGACAACAAGCAATTCTTTTTCACCCTCTGCAGCTCAAACCCCTGGTGGCTGCACGACGCCCTGGACGGATGCGAACCTCAACCGTTTCCGCTGGCCGTCCCCGCCCTCCACCCGAAATTGTCGTAGTGGATCATGACCAACGAAAATACAAGAAACATAAGAAGAGTGCACCGGCTTCCAGCGAGTGTATCCTCTCAACACCCAATCTTGGCTTTGGGGGCGCAGAGACACGTGCTGAGGGTGAGACGAACACAGTTTTTGTAAATATAACATGCTACTGCCAATTCAACAGTAACCAATGTATATAATCTAAAATTCAACCACACTCATGCAGGTTGGCTCCAGCGGAAGGAACGAGTGGCCCGACAACGGGTGAGTGA